TGAATATGGACTGTATTTTGGGCTGCTGAAATTCTAATATGATAATCACGATTATGTTTTTCACTTCTGATATCACAGCGATTTATAAGTCTTTACCCATTTTGCTACGTCACAACAAAGTCGCACAAACCTTAAGATCAAAATGTGACGTGAAACAAAGTCGATGTATTAGAATACAACTGTAAGAAGAACAACATTGTGATCAGTCTGTAAGAAAGACGCCCTGCACAGCCATCCTTTTTTGTATAACTGATAAAAATCAAGTGCAAAAATGCCTTCTGAAACATGGCTGCTGTTAGTAGTACTGCTACGTTGCTGTTTATGCCACATTTAGTGTGTTGTTCAGTCAACAGTTATCTTTTGATGGCAGTTTATACTGTTTACATTCAAGCATGTCTGGAAAAAATAAAAACAGCAGACAATAATGTTTGATTTACACTAAAACTCACTTGGCTTCACTGATGAGTACTTTTAACTTCTCTAGTCTTCATCATCATTTCCTGGTGGCTCGGTTGATATTTATCTTCCAGACTAGCATTACTAGTGGTTAAGTTAGTTGGTGTTTCTGTGTTTCATGCTGCTGTCCTGACATGTTTCTGTTGGTTTTTTTAATGTCCTCCTGATGTAAGGTCATTTGCCTCACATAAGGGACCTCTTACATTTTAATCTCAGATATAAAGCTTGTTCATACTTAATGACTACCAATTAATTTGTTATTAATCCCTGATATTGTGAGCGAATCTGTTAAAAGACGGATGCAAGAAATAAGCATCTGTGACTTGAGTTTTTTTTTTTTTAAATTGGTATAAGTCAGGCCCTTTCAAAATGTCAGACGTCTAGGCATGATCGTGATTATTATATGGCTAATTGTGCAGCCCTAATTGTGTTCACCCTCTGGTAGTGTAAACAAAGTGACAATTCCTACTCTGTGTGTTTCTATCCAGTAAAAAATGTACTATAGGCCTGGCTTAAGTGATGTTTGATCCAGGTGTTATTGTACAGAGCAAGTGAACTGTAGAACAGTAAGATGTTGTACCTGTAAAGTGCTGCTCCACCCATCCACGCTGGCCGGCTGCTGTCAGATACTCATGTTTCATTTACCTCCAGTGTCCCATCCCACCTTCAGCCACTAAAACCTCTAACTTCCCTATACATACCATGAGTTTGGCATTTTTATCCACCTATCGCCTCATCCTCTCTCGCAAGCTGCCAGTACCCCACGGCCCTCGGTTACTGTGAACCTTGACTGTCGGACTTTTTGACCCCCTGAGAGCTCACACAGTTCAAAATGTACATTGAGATAAATGGTGTGATGCCACATAAAGATTGTACTGCACAATCTGTAAAACATGATAAGAGCGTTCACATATGTTCACTTCAACATGCTTTTGGGGGTTATAAAGCCCACACGTCATTCGGCATGTCCTGCTTATATTTCTACATCTCATGGCCGAGCCTTGACTCTATGACCCCCCCTGACCCCAACCTCAGATCCCACAGTTGAGGTGGTGAGCGAGATGGAGGACCTTCGGGTGGTTGAAAACCAACCAGCTGAGTTCATCTGCCAGTTCTCAAGGCCAGTCAAGGCTCAGTGGAAGAAAGATGGGCAACCTTTGCAGCCTGACGGCCGAAGGGTGGTAGTGGAGCAGGACTGGAATGTGGCTCGCTTGTACATTAGCCGTGTGTCCGCTGAGGACAAGGGCACATACTCCTGTGAGGCAGAGGGGACCTGTGTGGTTGCTTCACTTCATGTGGAAGGTGAGCTTCCCTCCACATGGAAAGAGCACCAAGCTTTAGGGACTCTCCTCTGCTCTCTTACACCTAACAGTCCTTTTGGTCAAATAAACTGATGTTTTACTCATCTTTGCAAACATTCGTGCTCTTTTTGTTGACAAAAAACTTCAGAGAATTGGCCGTCCTTCTCTTTTGATTACACTCTCTTTGTCTCTTCCTTTTTCCGTTTGCTTTCTACAGCCAAGCCCATTCACATTGTTCAGGGTCTGGAGAATGCGGAGACCTTCAATGGAGGTGAAGCGCTGTTCGAGTGTGCCCTCTCCCGTCCTGAGAACAAAGATTTCTGCTGGCTTCTCGATGGAAAACCAGTGAAAGAATCCCGCACTGCTGAGATCGTGACGTTTGAGAGCGGTCGCCGCCATCTGCTCCTGCTGAAAGAGTTGCACATTAAAGACAGTTGCACGGTGACCTTTAAGTCTGGCGCGGCTTCCACATCTGCCCAGCTCACTATCAAGGGTAAGACATCCAAATGAAGACTTTGAAGTTGCACTCGTAACGTTTTCTCACCTTATTGTGGATCCCTGTGTTAAAAACTTGAATTGAGAACAGCCATTTTCTGGGTTTTCTCTTCTCAGGCTGGCAGCTGGACATCGTGAAGGGATTGGAGGACCGAGTGGCTGCAGTGGGAGAGAAGGTGGAGTTTTGCGTCGAGCTCACTGAGCCTGTCCCTGCGGCAGAAGTGGCCTGGTACGCTAATGGAGTCGAGCTGAAGCCCAGCGACCTCTGGGCTATGAGGGCTGATGGTTGTTCTTATCGCCTCGTCTTGAGACAGGCGCCTCTTTTGCCCCAGCAGGAAATTACATTCGCCGCCAGGGATGCTCTCTCTTTGGCAAAGCTCACCATCATCAGTAAGTGTTTGATGAACGTCACTCCTAAGATGAAGCCTTTTCTCATTGTAGTATATTTACTCTTTCAGTTTTATGTATTTTGAATTTGGTTTTAGATTGTCAAATGTTATAAGTTCTGTTTAGAGATAATGGTCATGTAATACAGTTTATAAACTATCCTCCACCTACTTGTTTATTCCAGTTGTGTACTCAATGTGGGAAGCCTGTGCAGAGATAATCTTGATACTCGAGGGAACAATATGACAGTTTATCGTTGATCAGTGTTCATAAGAGAAACCAACTCCTGGTTCCTTTCCTTTCCACAGCTGTACCCGATCCTCCAGAAGATCCAGAGGTCCTCAGTAAGACTAAACAGTCTGTGACCCTCTCGTGGTTCACTCCTCTGCATGACGGAGGGAGTCCCATTCTGGGCTACAGGGTGGAGATGCGGCTGGTAGACAGCGCCCTCTGGCTTCCGTGTCACTCTGAGCCTGTGTGCAACACAGAGTTTGTGGTTGAAAACCTCGTCTCGGGGAGCAGCTACAGGTTCAGAGTGGCAGCCATCAGCAGAGGCGGGACTGGAGAGCCTGTGGAGCTGCCTCAGACTGTGCAGCTTGGTGAGTTGATGTGCATTTCAGTTCACGGAATAATGTACTTGCTTATTTGCCGTGGCATTTTGCTTATTATTGCCCACTTAAATACTGTTTTATTTAATACGGAGCTATGAAGTTTACCTTAACACATTTTCAGCATTTTCCTCAGTGATTTGATGGAGCAAAGTAAAAGAATTTGGATGTTTCTAACTTCAGTTTCATGTGTTTCTTTTGCTGTTGTAACACAGAGGCACCTACACAGCCACTAATTAGCCCAGGTAAGACAGTGGTTTTTATATTATATATATACAAGTTCTACTGTAGTAAACACTCCTGTGCGCTTGTCCTCCCCAAGCAAGATTTCAAACATGTAGAAATGTCTCTCACACTAAGTTGAAATAAGTTTTGTAGCGCGAATTAAGCTTCAGTTAAGCAGGTGTTGAGCTGTGTGGAGACTAACAGTATCTCCATTGTTGTTATATTTAGATGCAAAACAGGGAGAGGCAGAGACACTGGGACAGCCCAGCTTGCCTCCTGAAGCAGCTGAAGAAGCCGATCTCCATGAACTGTGGGAAGCATCAGCCAAGAAACGGCGCATGAGTCGAGAGCCCACTCTAGACTCCATCACTGAACAACCTGAGGAGGACGGCAAAGGTGGTAAAAAGAAATCTGAGCAGACTCAGTCAGAGAAAGTGGAAGTAAAATCAGCAGAGAAGAAGTCAGAATCCATCGTGTGCACCACATCTGAGGATGAGACTGTTTCTGTGGGTTCAACACTTGTGTCCTACCTCAAAAAGAGCAGCACGACTGCTGTCACAGCAACCAATGAGGCAGAGACTCTGACCGCCGACAGATTCTTTGCACATTTCCAGATGGCAGAGCAGAGGACGGTGCAGCAAACTGAAGTGAAAACAACGACAACTCTGCAAATAGATGAGAAACAGGTATCTGCAGAGGAGACTAGCATCATGGAGATCAGTAAAGAGGATGAGCCTGAGCTCAGAGAGGCTGCTATTAAGATTCAAGCTGCCTTCAAGGGCTACAAAGCCCGCAAAGACATGCGTCCTGTGTTTAAAGACGTCTTCAAAGACCAGACCAAAGAACCTAATGGTACCATACATCTGGAATGCATGACAGATGGTAAACCTGATAAGGTACGCTGGATGAAAGATGGAGAAGTACTGACAGATGGAAAGCATCATCATATTGATATTTACAATGATGGCACCTGCTCTCTGGTCATTACTGCCATCACCACCAAGGACACTGGGGTTTACACTTGTGAGGTTACCAACAAGTTTGGAGTAGCTTCCCACAGTGGCAAGGTGACTGTGGGAACAGTGAGAGAATCATCGGGGCGACGGCCCCTGACGGTGGGCTACAGCGCAGACAGTGAGCCTGAGAGCTCCTCAGGCAGTGAGATGGACGAGTCCCTGAGGCAGGCAAGCAGACGTCTAAGACGCCTGTTACGCACTCGTCTTCCACCAGATGTTGAGGAAGAACCGTTTCTCAGCGCAGACGAAGGAGACTTGCGTCCCCCAGACCCTCACTCTTACCGTGAGGATGAGAGTTACATCTACATTCGCTTTGATTCACGGACGGACGCTGAGGTTGCTGCTAAGAGGTTCCAGGAGATGTTTACAGTCCACGGGGTCCCTGTGGAGACCACCATCCTGTCAGCAGGGCCTCTCAAAGTGGAGCTGCGGATTAAAAAGATGGGCTACGTGCAAGATGGAACACAGACACCGACACAAGATAGACAGCCTCCTGCGATACTGACTGGAGCACCAGGTAAGAAACATCATCATGCATCGTCAGCATCATTTCCTATTGCATATTTTTTGTTGTGCCAAATGCAATATACCAAAGATATATATGTCAACAACTCAGACTTAATGTGGGCAGTTTATTATTTTCACTGGTTTGCTCCTGTTGTCCAGCTGCCCCGGTGTTTTTAACGGAGCTGCAGAGCCAGGACGTTCCAGACGGTTATCCAGTCAGCTTTGACTGTGTTGTAATTGGCAAGCCCCCGCCCGCTATCCGCTGGTACAAGGATGGCAAGCTGCTGGAGGAGAACGATCATTACATGATCAACGAAGACCAGGAGGGCTGCCACCAACTCATCATCACCACCGTGCTGCCCACTGACATGGGCGTCTATCGCTGCACGGCTGAAAACAGCAGCGGCATTGCAGCCACTAAAGCTGAACTCAGGGTCGACAGTAAGTCACCATTCATTACAGGCATACGTTTGTTTTCTACATGTGCTTGGACAATTGGCTATATTTATTACTATCAAAGACTAAAAACAGCAACGTATCTTTTTTATGTTTCTTAAAGTGGTGGGACTAAAAAATATATATAATTAGAGGCTTTGTAATTAATTTATCATGATAACTTACGTTTTTATCAAGTTGCAATATTTGACACAACAAGCAAAAATTTTAAATTTAAATAAATTCTGTTTGACGACTGAATCAATGAACAGACATAAAGGTGAACTTTTTAAAAAATCTCTTTATTTTTCATCTTTATTTATCTGCATTTTTCATCTGCCTGCTACATTCACAGATTAGTGCAACTCAAAGTGTAATTATAGTGATTATATTCAACATTTTAAGACTTTTTGTCTTAAAACTCTTCGTTGCACACAACCATGCTCTTATCCAAGCTGCCATCACGAAGTTTATGTATTTATTTTTTTAAACTTTCCGCCAAGCAATGCGTGCTCGTCTTCTATCACTGTTCAAACTTTCTTGTGCACTAACGTCACTCTGTGCATCCTGTGCATCTTCTTCGTGGCTGGTAAACCAAGTTTAGGTGCATTAACGCCACCTACCGACTGGGGTGTGTTCATCAGTGTTACCGCTGGGCCAGAAATTAGGAACTGAGGAAGATGCAATTAAATGCGGTATTTTTTTAAAACACGGTTTGTAATTAATTCATCAAAACTAACGCGTTAAAGTCCCAACTCTAGTTTCTTATGTTCAGTGGGGAACTTTTCTCTTATTTGTGCAGAATTGACCAAATAAAATAAAATCTGTTTTATTTCAACATTTGATATCCATATTTTGTATTCATACAAGGAAAATCATTGCTGAAAGAAGTTCGTAATTTCTTAGTAGTATAACACATAAGATGTGTTTTGATTAAGGGGTACAAGGCTTGTTTATTTGATCGTCAAATCTCAGTCTCTTCCCTCAAGTATTGCCGTATACGCCCCTAAACATGACACGGATTTCCTGGCCATTAATTAGTATTTAGAAAAGCAGAGTGGCCAAAGTGTTCCTGCTTTACAAAAGCTTTCTCACATAAACAGTCAAAGGATAGTATAACTTTACAGTCACGTGTTCCCTTTAACACACATTTTGTCTCTAATTTCAGTCAGCGTTGTTTAATACTGTATGTTGATTCTTTCCATCAGTGTCTTGCAGCTCTGATTATGACACTGCTGCTGATGCCACTGAGACGTCTTCCTACGTCAGTGCCAAGGGCTATGCGTCCAGGTGAATTTACTATGAACGGTGTTTTATAATGTGATGAATAAATTTACCATTCACACAATGTTCAACGATATTAAATACTGGAGCCGTACTGTTGTTCTCTCTTCAAGCAGGGAAACTGAGACCTTTGAGTCTGTAGCTGAAGATGATCAGCTGCCACAGGTCGTGGAGGAGCTCCATGACGTCCACGTCAGTCCAGGTTCACCGATCGCAAAGATGCAGCTCAGAGTAAAGGGTAGGTGTATCTGATCTATCTCACCTGTCAAGTTACGTTACATGATTTAAAAGTGATCGTTTCTGAAATGTCCATCGTCTTCCAGGTTTCCCCAAACCCAGAGTGTACTGGTTCAAAGACAGCCACTCTCTACGACCTTCAGAAAGGATTCAGTTGTCAGCAGAGAGAGACGTTCACAGCGTGGAGATCATGGAGGTGAAGAAAGCGGATATGGGGGAGTACTCTGCTTATATCAGCAACGTGGCTGGTTCTGCCTACTCCTCTGCCCGACTCATAGTACTGCGTATGTATGCAAATGCCTTAACAGTTGACTTTATAAAATACAATATCTACGACAAAAACAGCACGAAATACACTATTTTACAGCACTTCAAAGATGCTCTTGAAGTTGTTAAACATAAAATAATGATTTCCTCTTGTAACAGATCCAGGGGAGATTATGCCACAAGATAAAAAAGGTAATTTGACATTTATTTTACAAACTTGGCACGAGTACAGGTACTTCAGTAAAAACAATAATGTACTGTGAGTGTCTCTGCTCCTGTTTTATTATCACAGATCCCAAGGTGCCCCTGGTGCCGCCCCGCTTCCTCGAGAGGTTTAGCAACAGGAAGGTGAAACAAGGAGCAAGCATCACTCTCTCTGTCAAAGTAGAAGGTTTGTTTATTTGCTTATTTCATTTCCATTGTTGTATTTTATCCTTAAACACCAGATCCAAGTTTCCCGATCCCAGACTAATCGTCATTCAACTATTGTACCAAGTTCTCCTGCTCTGTACTCTTTCAGGCTCTCCCACTCCGATGGTCTCCTGGCTAAAGGAGGAATCATTGGAGGACGTCCTGTGGATCAAGCCTGATACCAAGGGATATAAAATAGCAAGCTCTGGACGCCAGCACAGCCTCATCCTGATGGACGTTGGCACAGAGTACAGCGGCGCCTACACTTGCATTGCCACAAACAGAGCAGGACAGTCCATCTGCACCGCTCACCTCGAGGTGGACGACAGTAAGGAATCCCATTTTGAAGCTACATGATTATTAAGTATATCCTCCAACTAGAAAACCCTCAGCAGAGTTCTGAGTAGAGCTTGTCTCTCATGTATTACGCCACCTCCTCTTTCTCTAGCATCACGACGAAAGAAAGAGACCGTAGCCTCAGAGTAAGTTTTCTTTTTTTAGATTAAGCCATTGCACATACAACGACATGTGTATTTAGGTAAGAGAATAACATCTAACACTGAATTCTCCTCAGGGTTCTTGGAATTACAGTTAGTCCTCCAGATGAGGAGGCTGGCAGAGGAAAAGGTATGATCTAATACACTGGCATGGATTGTTTCTAGTAATTTTGTCCGTTATTTATTGTAATTTAAATTATTGGTGGTTATAAATGCTATTATATTCATGCCGTTGTTTCCTTTTTGTGCACGTGTCAAGAGGGTAAAATGCCCTACCTCGGTGAAGTAGGTACAGAGGAATTCCTCATGAAACTCACCTCTCAGATCACTGAAATGGTGTCGGCGAAGATCACCCAAGGTAAGTGTGTGCTGTGAGCCACTCTGTCTAGGCACGTAAATATGTTGTTATTGTTATATTTGAAAGAAATTCTGGTTACAGTTTTCCGTATTTTTCCAGGTCGGGGTTGGTTTTGTTTAGGTTTTTACGGTGCTTGTTCTTTCCCCTGTTGTTGTTTTTGGTTCGGTTCTTTTAACGGTATTGTTATCGGTACTTTTTGAAAAAACGAAACAAGTTAAAAACATACTAAATATCGCTTAATTTTCTCACATGTACTGTATAAGAATTTATAAGACTTTCTGTAGACACTAATGTTGTGTTGATGGGATGGTCAGAGCGCTGTGGACGGCGTCACAGGTTTTACTGACTAAATAAAACCTTATCAGTCATTAGACTGTCCAACGTTACATCAGAATGGATTTGGAAAGTGAAAGTGCATCATAGACACACACACTACACGTTGTATGGTGATGAGATAGAGTTTGCAAAACAACAATATACTTACGTAAAGTACCGTTAGCAGAACCGTTAACATCGGCGCTTATCGATCCTTTGTTACAGAAAAATTTTGACCTGGAGCTCGGTACCCATCCCTACTACAAGAAACACATTATTTTATAATGTCCAGAGGGCATTCCAGACGGAGAAATAACCTAATCAGGCTTATTCAAGTCTAGTTTGAACCAAGATAAAACCAGGATTTTATTAATATTTGACTGCAGATCTCTCACCTGAAGTTCTGACAGCGTGCCAATAGCTTAAAGTAATGGAATATATTCTTAAATACGTTGTTTTAGCGTGTTTACGTTGATCAGGTGTTCAAATATGGTATTTAGTCCAGTATTAGAGAAAACATTCAGGAAGATGTTTCAGTTCCAGGGGCTAGTGAAGAAGCTAGCCACATGTGGGTGTCTGTAGCATGTACAACTAACATCCAGCGCTGCTGCTAAGGGTTTTATTATATTGAACATGTTTTTATTAATTATGAAATTCTGTTGTCATCATACATGCAGCAACGAAACTGACAAGATAACAAACTCTAAAGTCAGAGATAGTCAACCGAGACTATTGATCCCCTCAAACCTGTAGGTTTTCATTCCAGCCAAACATCGCACAAGATGATTTCAGTGTTGACGACACCCTCACTCAGGGGGAGACCCCATATCTCTAGAATCACCTGCTGTCATCTGTGGTTGGAATAAAAACCTGGAGGTTGCCTCTTCCTGCTCCCGCTGCTGTCACTGCCTTTCCTAGTTGCTGCAGCTAAAGATGCTCAAAGTATAAAAACTATTCACACTTTATTTTGCGCTAATTTGCTTCTGTTTAGTTTTTATTACATTCTCGTCAGGTTTGGCTGAATTCCCTGAATTCATTCTGACTATTCAAGAATTGTGAAAGTGTTGTTTAATGGGAATGCTTTAACACTTGAATTCTTGGATATCACTTTTCACCTGACGGTCGAGTGTTCCTCACCTGCTCTTCAAGTGCTCGTTCTTCAGCATGCTTTGATTCATTCAAACCCCTCGTGGCTTCATACAGACGTCATTTCTTTAACCAGTTTTACATCCATCATTTTATAAATCACACCAGTTCAATGCTCATCCAAACATTAATTTGTTATTCAGACAGTTCACAGAATCATGAAGTGCTCCAGTGGATGAAATCTTGGCCCAAAACTACCAGTATGTATCCCAAGCGCATCGGCATCACAGTTAATGTACATTTTTTCCTTTGAGATATTTTTGTACCACTAGATGGCTCAGAAGATGATTTGATGATTTTATTGTAGGTCTATATTTCCTTCTACATTTAGCAAAGAAACATGTTTTTCATATTCAGGTGCAACAGTTTTCTCTTAAACGTTCCCTTTTCGACCTATCAGTGCCTTTTTATCCCACCTTACTCACCATCAATATGTTTTCTGGACTTTTTGAAAATATTTTCTAAATGATTTTGTGGTAACAATCCCCAGCCTGTAGCTGGAATACATGCTCACCAGCAGACATGTATGTGAGGATAAGTGCTTTCTGTGCTCGCATGCTGTCACAATACTAACACAGCAGTAATACAGAGCAACGCATTAGAATGGAAGGATTGTTGTGGATTTTCTTTTTTCTCTTTACTTCCTAAAATATATGTAATTACAGACAGGGTGATGATAACATGACCAGGTAAATACATCACTAGTTGATGCTGACACAGAGTTAGTGTTTTTAATGTGACTTTGGTCCTGGAACAGCCGAGCTTTGGAGTGAATACTAATAACTGCTTCATAAGTTTAAGCCAGAAACTGATTCATCTGCAGCAGTTTGCAGTCTGAGAGCTTCCTGTCTTTGCCAAACAGCTAGTTTTTATGGCATATAACAGCGACACATTAAGTTGTAAAGGATGGATTATGCTCCGGTTCTCTGCGATATTGACCCGTCTTCCTCTTGACTGCCTCCTCCTCCCTCGCTGCCCGAAGCTTCGTTACGCGTACCGGGCGCCGACAGCGACGATGAAACCAAAACCCCTTCTCCATCGCCTCACCACGGCCGCTCTCGTCCTCCCTCCCTCATCGCTGACTCCTCGTCTGAGTCTGATGAAGGGGACGCCAGGGGAGAGGTGAGACAAGGAAGTGATCCCACGAGCTTATTGTTGGAAAGAATTCATGGAACATAATTTATTCATAAAGGTCATAATCATTGGTAAACCACACTAAATACAGTCTGGTAGACATGCAGCATGTCTATAGTATTATTGTAGGATTGTGTCCTCTTTAGTTATTTGTGTGCTGACTCAGTTCTCAGTACAATTTAAGGTTGTCTTGTTGTATTGTTTACTTTATAAACATAAGGAACTAAAATGTTAGAGACAACTTAAAGTATCTGTCGCCCTAGAAAATTGGGAAAAATCTTCCCAGGTGCAAGTTTTCTTTAAGTACAGTCAGAAAGGGAACTAAGGTTGTGCTACAACAGGTAACTTAACAGCATTGTTTTTCATGATTCATATAATTAAAATCTGCTTCTTCTTTGTGTTTGTTTGCTTTAGATGTTTGACATCTATGTGGCAACAGCTGACTACAACCCCACCATGGCAAGCAAAGACTCCATCGCTCTGAAGGAGGGACAGTATGTCGAGGTTCTGGACTCGGCTCATCCGCTCAAGTGGTTAGTTCGGACCAAACCCACCAAAACGACACCATCCCGCCAAGGCTGGGTCTCACCTGCGTATCTGGACAAAAAACTCAAAGTATGTCACAAGACCATCGCAGCTGATTTATTTATATTTTTAATCAACATTTCTTCTTGACGTCTATTTAAAAATGTGTCTTACAGCTCTCTGCTGACACCGGGGATCTTCCAGAAACAAATGTGGAGGAGGTGTCAGAGGGAGAGTACAAGAGGAAGTTATTGTAAGTAAAGCTTTGTAGTAAATAGTGCTGCCAGAGGATGCACCATAACCAACTGTTCGTGTTCATGTCCTCAGCCAACTGATCCAGGACTTGGTGAATGGAGAGTCAGAGTTCGTCAGGGATGTGGATTTCTTTACCTCCCATCATGTGAAGCATGCAGACCTCCCCGACACGCCGCCTGATGTCAGCAGCCAGAAGGAGGCCATTTTCAGGAACATCGATGAAATCAAACTCTTCCACAGCAAGTGAGCTCGACTCTTAGTCACTAACCACCGCTGTCTGCTAGTTTAAAAAAAGAAAGTCTGTATTTAAAAAAAAATATTTAACGAAATACAGTGAGATTTAATCCACTGTCATTGATTTATTTCTCTCTGCACAGGTCATTCCTCCCGAAGCTGAGTGACTGCGACACAGATGATGACATAGCCATGTGCTTCCTGAAGAACAAGGAGGGCTTTGAGAAGTACCTCCAGTATCTAGTAGGTCAGGGTCAGGCTGAATCTGCCATCAGTGACAAGACTGTCCACCACTTCTTTAAGGTAAAACCACAACTAATACCACTACCTCTCTTACATTCACCTTCCATTCTAGATATTTTTTTTATTTGTTTACTCTGTATTTACGTCGTTGCTGCTTAGTAAACGGCTGTTTACCAGTCAAACTGTTCAAACTGTTAAAGTGAACTGTGTTTTTACAGGAGTACACTGATAAAGAGCAGGCCAGTGCAGACCCTGCCGGTCCCCCCGTACGAAGCATCAAGGCCTGCCTCCAACAACCGCTGGACAGAGTTCAGAAGTACAAGGCCATCCTCAAGGTGAGAGCTTTGACAAAGAACAGTCTCGTTAGGATCAGGTATTTGCGTCTTGAAAACGTCTGAGGGGGTCAGTGCCAGAGTGGACCGAACCACGTTTACTAGTTTTAGAGAAAAATGGGGTGAAAATTTTGTGTTGGTAAAAAAAATCATGATATGCATCCAAAGATGTTCCAACGCTGTCCAGAGATAGAAACGGCTGCTCTGTGATGACTTATTTCAGTTTTAATTTCCTTCTGCTGAGCACCAAAGCGGGCCGTACCACATTTTCTACTTTTTGAGAATCAAACTGATTCCAGGTTTGTCTTGTTGAAGAGTTTACATCATCAGGAACTAGAGATCCTTCTGAGGACCGTGGGGTAGAAACAGATGCTTGGTGGTGCTTCATTAAGGTTTTTTTTCACCTTACCGTACCTACCAGTTGAGTTTTCACGGGGCTTGATGTCGTGCTGTCCGCCATCTTGAATTGAACTACCTGCGATGTAACGGTCAGTAATTCCTGTGGCTTGGTCCAGTTTGCCATTAAATTTTCATGCCAAAAACCATCATGGGCCAAACTTCAAAGTGGCATTGTGACATTATTAGTGGGCTGCTGGTTGGAGCACTTTGCCACCAACTAGTCGACCATAAACAGAAAAACATCAAACTCATCTTGGTTTGGCCCGCTTTGGCACTGAACCCCTCACATCTTACTTGCAAGCATAAGGCATTTTCTTTCAGACCCTTGTCACTGTCGCTGCAGTTTTGGTAAAATTTCCCCCATTGTCTTTAGGAGCTCATCCGGAACAAGGCGAGAAATGGCCAGAACTGCTGCCTGCTGGAGGAAGCCTATGCGATGGTGTCTGCGCTCCCTCAGCGGTCCGAGAATACCCACCACGTCTCCATGATCGAGAACTATCCAGCCACCCTGGAAGTTCTTGGAGAGCCGATTAGACAGGTAGCGTGTAGTTCCTGACTGTGTGGTGCAGCGATGAGACGCTTTATTAGTGTTTGACTCTTTCTGTATGTTTTCTGTTGTTTGTGCACCAGGGACCGTTCCAAGTGTGGGAGGGAGCTCCTGGAATTAGAACGTCCTCTAGAGGTCACCATCGCCACGTCTTCCTCTTTAAGAACTACTGCATCATCTGCAAACCCAAGAGAGACAGCAACACTGACACACAAGCATATGTGTTTAAGAACATGATGAAGGTAAACGTTTCCTCCTGTCACTGTTAACTCTCCTTTAGTGCTGCGCAGCCTGAATGATGTTTGCTGTGTTCTTCACCCTGCTGCAGCTGAACAACATCGACGTGAACGAGACAGTGGAGGGCGACGACCGGGCCTTCGAGATCTGGCACGAGCGCGAAGACTCTGTGAGAAAATACACCTTACAGGCCCGAACTGTTACCATCAAGAACTCGTGGCTCAGAGACCTCCGAGAGCTGCAGCAGCGATACAGCATGCCTGCTTGGAGTGAGTAGGATGTACACACTGTCTCTACTTTCTTTATCTCAGTGTCTGTTTAAATGCTGACACTGTTCTTTAGCAGGAACTCTCAAAATCTACCTCTCATGGTTAATTCTTTCCAGGTCCCCCTGATTTTGAGGCGATCCTGGCGAACTGCACAGCCGAGTTGGGCCAGACTGTGAAGCTGGCCTGCAAAGCCACCGGAGTACCCAAACCTGCCATCACCTGGTATAAAGGTGAGACGTCTGCAGCATTGTTTGTTGTCCTTGTGCTCCTTAACCATGTGCAGACTAACAGGCCCCTGATTTAGTGTTTCAATAACTCACTGGTGTATTTGTCGGGTGCAGACGGACGCACGGTGGAGGCAGATCCTCATCACATCATCATCGAGGACCCCGACGGTTCCTGCACACTGATCCTGGACAACATGACTGCAGATGACTCTGGCCAGTACATGTGCTTTGCCTCGAGCTCGGCTGGCAACGCTAGCACTCTGGGAAAAATCACTGTTCAGGGTACCTGACTCTGATAATCTAGTTTAGATCAGGGGTGTCGAACTGTGGCCCTCGAGGACCGGATGTCGACACCCCTGGTCTAGATAGTCTTTAAAAAAAAAACACATTTTCATGTGTAACTATGAAGCATAACGGAGTCGACTAAAAAGACATAACATTAAACATGTACATTAAACATGTAAATACATTTTGCCTCTTGCAGTGCCTCCTCGCTTTGTGAATAAAATCAGGAACGCTGTCTTTGTTGCTGGCGAGGACGCTCAGTTCACCTGCGTAATTCAAAGCGCTCCCACCCCCAAGATCAGGTACGGACGCCCTGAGCACATTTTTTACCGCCAAAACATTCTGATTAAACTTGAAAATTCACCACGTGTATTAACCTCTGTGTTCAAGGTGGTTCAAGGAAGGCAGGCTGCTGACGGACCAGGAGAAGTACCAGACCTACAGTGAGCTCCGTAGTGGGGTTCTGGTTCTGGTCATCAAAAACCTGACAGAGAGAGACCTCGGGCACTATGAGTGTGAGGTTGGTGACATTACAGTATATTATAATATACACTGTATTAGTATAGTCACTACTGACAGTATAAAGACCCACTTTATGGTGTTTTTATTATTTTTCATGAATAAAAATGTTATTTTCCACATCAAACCACACTCAGTAACCCATAATAATGAAAAAAAGAGAACATTTTAAGACGTGTTTGCTACTTGGATTACATTTCTAATTTTAATGAAGTTCTCAGACCTTTAATTCAGCTCTTTGTAGTTGCCCCTTTGGCACAGATAAAGCCTCAAGTCCTCTTTAGTCAGCCTTGACAAGCTTTGCACACCTGGATTGGACAGCTTATTCGCAGCAGACCCTCTCAGACTCTGGCAGGCTGGATGAGAAGTGTCTGTAAACTGCCACCGCCAGGTCTCTCCACAGGTCTTGTGTAAGTCTGGGCTGCTCGAGGACAGTCAGAGATTTGTTCTGAAGCCATTCCAGCTTTGTCTTGGCTTTATGTTTTGGTTTACTGTTGTGCTGAAAGCTGAGCTGTCCCCCCAGACTCAGGCTGGTGCACTCTGGACCACGTTGTCCTGCTCATCCAAGAGCCTCTGAAGTCGTTGCCACAGTTTTATCATGCAGAGAGTTCTTGAGCTTCATAACTGTCTTTCTGAACTATGTCCAGTCCCTGCAGTTAGTCACAGGATGCATTTGACCACAGTTTGGAGCCCCGAAACAAAGGCTCTGAATATTTTTATAAAACAGACATTTTTATTTTAGATTTCTAAAAGTGTGAGTGTCAGTTTGTCACTACAGGTTGTTTAGGAGAGACTTTATGGTGGTCGTAAGAGTGTTTCTTTAAGCCAAGGAGTCGTTCCAGGACAGTTGATATCAATTAGCAGCAGTAAGTCAAATTTAGGACTCTAAAAATATACCTCTGCTGTTGCCAGTTGTCCAACCGTCTGGGTAACGCCAAGTGTGCTGCTGATCTAGTCCTGCCCTCCGCTGTGGCTCGCACTGGTGAGCAGGCCATCACCATCGAAGGTAGGATGCTGACTGATGTGGGACTCTGTAAATTACATTCTTTTATTCAGGTTCTGACTAAATAGGAAAGTTGTTCTTCTTGTGCTTTTAATGCAAGATGTCATTGTTTCAGCTCTAGTTTTGACACTAGTCATCATCTTGCTTTTTCTGCTGGATCTCGTTTCTTCTTTTCTTCCTCAGTTACCGAGCAGGAGACTAAAATACCAAAGAAAACCATCATCATGTAAGTGTGATCCGTTTAACTGCAGCGTGTCGACTACATTCTAACTGTAAGGTAACATTAGAGAGGCTCTTGGAGGATATTTAGGGATAAACTTCAGGTGCTGGCTTTGTGTAGTTGTGTAGACGTTGCTTGCTGTAATAGTGTGTCTGCCTCTGTCTCTCTCTGGCCCCATGTGTGCATTGTGCAGTATTTAAAGCCTGAATGCAAAAGGATTCTATCACAAGGACGATGAAAGGATGGGCTGTTCTCATCAGCAGCATCGCACCGCTTTTACATTTAAACTTAAGACTCCAGTTAAAGTTGATTGTAGTTACAGAACAATGAAAGAGCTAAATTGCAGAACACTTTATGCTGTTGTGATTATATTCTATTAAGTTATGCACAGTCTATGGATGGAATTTAGCTAAAATCTTGTTTTTGAGGCGTCACCTTTTCCTAATTGTCTCAATAACTTTATGAGTGGCCTTTTGAGCCAGTCGTCAGTGTGAAAACTGTATTCAGTCCAGAAGATAGCTTTGGTAACGTCCTCTTTTTGTTCCAGCGAAGAGACGATAACCACTGTGGTGAAGAACCCACGCATGAGGAGGCACAGATCTCCTGGACTGACTGTCCCTGGCGCCCACCGCTCTGAGACTTCCACGCCGGAGCCTCCGACAACCAGGCAGAGGAGGATGCCCGCTCAAAGAAAGACCACCATCCCGACCCTCTACGTCACTGAGCCCGAGGGGGCCGAAGCCAGAGCGATGGAGATGAAGCCCCGGTGGGTGGAAGTGGAGGAGGTCATCGAGTATAAGGTCAACAAGTCTCCCAGGCTGCCCAGGAGGAGAGGGATCTCACCGGCAGGGTCTGAGCGTTCCTCCACTCCCTTAAGAGCCAAAAGGTCTCCGCTGGAAAACCCAAACACGAATAACTCCAACAACAAGCTGGTGGAGCAGGCGCAGGCCCAGCTGCAGGGAGACCTCAGCAGCCAGCCGCTGTCCTGGGAGGAAGAGGAGACGCCCGCCGCCTCCGGCTCTGCTTCTGGAGAGCCACAGGAGGTCTCATCTGTTCTCGCTGGAGAGGACAGCGACGACCTGGACGATCAGCAAACTGTCATCTTTGAACCCGACGATGAAGACGACGACTGCGGTCAGCTCAGAAAGCCGGAGCCTGTCATCCTGAAGCAAGGAGATCACGTTCTGAGCCTTGAGGACTTGGAGGACTACATCCCAGAGGAGGGAGAGACGTACGGCTCCTCCGCCTCCCGTCACGCTGCCGATGAGAAGCCCTGTGAGATCTCCGTGCTCCAGAGGGAGATCGGCGGGTCGTCGGTGGGGCAGCCGGTGCTTCTGAACGTCGGGCGCCCGGACGTGGCGCCGAGGCAGAGGAGCGGCTTCTTCGGCCGCTTCAGGGAGCATCTCTCCGGCAGCCTTTTCTCGCCCGCCGCCTCGCCGGCCAGCGGAGCCCGATCCAGGATGGAGAGACACGTCCCCATCCAAGTGAGCCACGCCAAGCTGGAGGTGAAGCCGTCGTACTGCTCCGAGGTGCAGAGAGTGGAGGGCGGGCAGCAGAGCTTCAAAACCAAAGTGTCCACTCAGACCTACGGCTACACGTCGGTCGGCAACCCGGTCACTCTCCAGATCAGAGATAACCACTACCAGAACCAGTAGAAGCAAACAGTTCATCTGACACCACAAACCCTCGTAGTCTTAAATGGGGATGTTTGCATGATTTAAAGATAAATAAAAAAAACAAGACGACTCCTAACCTGAGGTACATCTACTACATTTGACAAACCATTCCATTTTGAAGCTGCCAATCAGAAAATAGGCTCCTCCTCAGAGCTGTTCTCTTGACAGATGTTCGGGGTCAGATGGTCTCTTTGGACTGGACGAGTTGTAACTGTAGGATTATGTCTCTATGAGCAGGTTTCAGAGCCACGAGGTTCTGTTACAGCTGCTATAACACACACAGAGCTGTACGAGGACGGACTGACGTTCTACTGATTAACTATTTCAACGTCTGTCTCTGACTTGAAATTAGTGAGAAAACCTTTTTCAGATATTCACACGAACTCGACTCTATCAGCCGATCTGAGCGTCCTGCTCCTGCTGTATACATACACAGATAGTTCTACTTTTAGGTATTTATATATTTTTTCGGATTCACTTTTGTACCTTTCAATAATGAGTTAATGAGGTGACGACTGCACGTTTTACTCCGACAAGCGACTCTGCTTATTAACGACACAGCTTTGGTGAAGTTTAATCGATTGATCACGTAATAGAAGATGATTCTCTACTAGGTTGGGGTTCATGGTTTGTTCTTTGGTGAGCAGCTTATACAGATGTGACACCTTTGGTAGGTGAACCTCTAGTCTGCATCCTTCATCATGGTGAAACATGTTCCTACCATGAACTGAATTTTGTACTCAGCTCTTTGCAGCACAGCTAGCTGCAAACTCAGCGGCTGTCACACGACGTTCACGTGTAAGTGATTGAATTGAGTGCCTGCATGTACGTGTTTATCCAGAGTAACCAGAAGCACTTGAGCTCGCTGGATTTATGACATTTTCATTTTAAAAGCGACTAGACTGTGTTCCTCCTGAGAGACGTGTGGCGTTTGTGTTGTGTAAGGGTGTTTCAGTCAGCTACGAGGATTGTGTAATATTATTAAAGCACTAACGGATTGTAATTTGCTTGTACATGTGTAGTTTTGGACAAAACACGGTTGAGTACAAAGTGTTGAATTAAATAAATGTACTGCAGATACTCAACACAACCGGCTTCCTCCTCGTTTCTTCCAGACAGACGGTGTTTAAACGTGTTTATTGAAGGTTGCACATGTAACAGAGTTTTACCTCATGGACGTAAGAAATACGACAAGCACTTCATGTAGGAGCTGAGTTAGTTTGAAATGACAAATCAGAGGACTGAGAGAACGATGTTAGACTTTTATGAACAATATCAAACTGGACATTTGGTATCAGAAACACAAACCTGCAAAGGAATGGATGTTTTATATATATATATCATGCTTTGGGTGGGTTTAATACTCGCAAAATTGAAAATGCGATGAATTAAAAACAAAAAAAAAAATGCCAATTCATAAACGGATTCTACATTTTTTTCTTCAATTTCAAGTCAAAGGATTTACTGTGTGCTTGTTTCTAATCCGTCCCAGTCCGCTGAGTGTCATCCGCTGTACAGGTGAAGCTGCAAAGTAATAAAGTTACTCAATATAAAAAGTTTTACAAATTTACAACTGTAAAATAAAAACAGTTCCAATGTCGGTTATGCCCTCACAAACAAACAAACAACAACAAAACAACAAACCTTTTTGTTCAGAATTTCTATGATGGGATTTAATCCAACGACAGCATTTATAACCAGAAACAAACTCATCTGTGACGGAGTTCACACGTCATCTGGCTATTTACAATAAAAAGAAAAAGCAGCGGCACAATTCTGCGGTTTTAAAAAGCGACCAGCTGCCGTGTTCGGATGAGTCGACCTCCTGACGCGAGCCGGGTTGTTACGAGTTACAAAAACAAAACCAACAGTAGCACAACTTGGCACCCGTCGTATCCAAATATGTGCTTTTTCTTTTTTTTCCTCCACACCCTTGAAAAACAGGTTTGTCCACTTGAGGGAACGAGTTGTGTTGCTTCCTGTTTGTGCTGCTCCGGGTTGGCGAGAGAACGAAGCTGCACGTGTTGAGAACCGGCCGCGCTGGTCGCACTTCAAGTAAGAATCATTGGAGTAGCTTGACTTCATACGAGTGACAAAAAGTTAAAAAAAAACAAAGAAGTGTTCCACTAAACAGAATGTGATCGTTTGTTAACAACTACTTCTAAACACCATGTAAAGCGTTAGTAGAGGGATGCGCTGTCTGAGCCTCACGGACCGCCGTCTGAGGGAATGTACGAGGCTGGAATGGAGGTCTGTGGTTCTGGGAGGAGTGGCTGCTGGACGGGACCCGAAGGACGCTGCTGTCCCCTACGAAGACGCCTTGGTTTTCTTGACCTTGTTGATTTCCTAGAAGGAGACAGGAAACAGTTTTACAACGCTCCAAATACAAATCTGAAGCCACAGAGGAAGAATATTAAAGCAAGATGTGCAATATTCTAGTTTATTTTATCATGTAAATATAAAGCTGCTGTTTGTGTAGTACCTCCTGTCTCCACTTAGAGTGTAAATTCCACTTTTATTTATCCACCTGTAATGTTTCACCGTGTTCATAGATCACCTGTAGTGCGTGCGATGTGGCTGAAGCTATTTCTACGTCTCTATTTCGTCCTTCTCACTGTGGTGTATTTACATTTTTTAGATTTACCAGAGCTTCGATGTTGTCAGTGCTGTAAGTTTCAGCTACCAAGACAACTTCCTTGTGCTCACGTGGCAGTGAAGCTTTTTTCCGACACCAATTCTGAACTCCGATAAAGGAGAAGATCCTTTCAAAAATAAACATCGTCTTCCTTTAACTTAATCTTGTTGATGTGAATATATTCATTCACTGTGTTAGAATGCTTCTTAGGAGCAAAACTAAAACCGTTAAAACACTGTTTACATGTGTTTATTATCTCATGTAAATGGTCTGTTTTCTGTCACTCACCTCCAGAAGAGCATTTCTTAGCTGCCCGTACGCTTCCTCCAAAACATCGTTGACGACGATGACATCAAAAACTCCCGGTTCTTTACCTGGAAGGCGACACAGCGGTGCTCAGTCATGATTTAAACGTCTGTGTGGTGACAGACTTTGAATCGTGAGGAAACCGTGACCACTTACTGAATGCTATCTCCACTTTAGCTGCATGTAAACGCTTCTGGAGACTCTCCTCCGACTCGGTCTTTCTGTCTCTTAGACGTTTTTCCTGCAACAATAAAAGCAGAGAACAGCTTCAGCCTATGTATGTTTTTACAGAACTGTGGCGCTGAGCTGTGATCCAACACTGAAGCTCACCAGGATCTCCATGGACGGCGGCTGGATGGAGATGTAGATGGGGTCCAGGTCCGTCTGTTTGATGTTCCTCACGCCCTGCATGTCGATGTCCAGGATGCAGATGAGGTTCTTGGCCTGGACGGCCTGCACCGCCGCCTTACTCGTCCCGTACATGTTCCCCGAAAACTCTGCGTTCTCGATGAACTCGCCATTGTCGATGCCCGCCTGCATCTCCTCCCGCGTGACGTAGTGGTAATCTGAAACCCAGAATACACGTTAAAAACAGAAACACAGACTGAGATGAAGAAGAGGAGCTTTGGTGGTTGTAGGAGTGACGTACCTCTGCCGTTCTCTTCTCCAGGTCGAGGGTTTCTGGTCGTATCTGGGAAATGATGAGACGTTTATCTTTTGTATTCAATCTAGAGCTTCAACAGTTTGTCAGTGAATCTATTAGCCCCTGACAGACATTATGTTGATCCACCTTCAGACTGTTTTTTTTAATGACAGAATAACTGCTTCATCCATATAAAGCTGGAAAATAGAAAATCAGCTATTTTTTTTAAAGCACAAACTCACATCTTTTGGAGATTTTAGCTGGATTTTTATCAATATTTATGTCATTTTATTGTTAATTGCTAACAAGACAAGAAAATAATCAGTATAAAAGCATTTTCCTGCATGAGTAACATCCACATTTGCAAGAAATCTACAACATTAACCAACAACAAGCCTCAGCAAAGAGCCAAACAAACGCTGAATGCTGTTTGTGAGGACTAACTTACGGGAGACGCTGAAGCCGAAGACGCTGTCGTACTCCTTCATCAGCTTCTTCAGCAGGGTGCTCTTTCCTGCCCCCGACGGGCCGCTGAGCACCACAGGCCTCGGTCCAGCCATAGCTGAAAGAGAGCAGGAGAGAACAGAGCGGTTCACTTCAGGAAACAGGGAGGCGGAGCTGGAGGGAGGAGAGGCTCAACCGCTGGAATCTGACATGAGTCATCAGCAGGGCAGCATCAGGCCGAGCAACAAACACAGGATCTAAAAACACACACGACAGCAGGACGGGCCGACAGGTTCAGACACGCCTCAGTCAGGTGGGAAATAACACAATAAAACGATAAGGCAGCGCTTCTCCAGGAAAATGATGAGTCGGAAACAGCTCTCAGAAGAGCAGAGGCTGGTTAGCGAGCCGTGAGGTTACCATGGAGCTGTCGAGGGGCAATTAGCCACTAATTGGAGAGCTGCTCGTGATGGACGGCAGCAAGAAACAGGAGAAACACACGGAGCTCAAACAAGTTCAACCACAGCTTCAAACTCCCATCTAACACCTGAGAAGCTCCTGAGTGGAGAAGAGTTCCTTTTCTATCCCAACATACATTTAAATCCAGTGATTTATATTTTGAAGTAACGTCTGTCGAGTCCTTCTTACCTTTAATCAGAACACACAGCTCTCCAGCAGACAGACAATTCAAATGAGCAGGGAGGCTGTGATGGTAGATTTTATGTTAAAGCAGAAGGGAGGAGAGACAGGAGGAGGGCCGGGCCTTTCTACGCTCGGGGGGATTTTCTTATCCAACACAATTTAAATATCTTATAAATCTGTTCTGCTCTGATATTAAAGAGTTTTACTGTTAATCCAAAAGCACAAGCACTTTATAATTATCCATTTATCTGGATAAACAACACAGCTGGGTTTCAGTAACTCCAGATGTAGGAAAGCTGCTAATAAACTTCACTAAAACAGCTGCAGAGCAGAACCAACACCAGCCTCGGTGCTCTGAGACTTACATCAGTGTCTGGCAGCAGATGGGTTGAAAATCAGCACAGAAACCATGTATTCCATATCACATAAAATACAAGTCTGAGCCTTTTTAAAAACCAAAACAAAGCGACGTGTTCCAGACGATGAGCGTTAAATCATTATGATCCTTCTTGTTTCCAGGAGAACCAGAGCTGGTCTGTGCAGGTGCATCTGACAGCGTCTGTCCTTCAGCGTCGCCTCTCGAGTGTTTCCCGTAAACACAAAGTCCGTCCTTGTGTCGAGGTCAACATCTACTACGACTACAGCAGGATTCGTTTTGGGGTCATTAATAAAAGGCTTCACGTTTCTGAAACACTCAGGGCTGCAACTAAGAGCTTTATCTGTGATAATCAATCTACATCTAGAAGTCGAGATAAGCTCTTTAAACCTGGAGATATTTAACCTACAACGAGCACTAAAACCTGGACACGTGAGAAGCTGCAAACTTTTTGCTCCATAAGTGACTTAACTATAGTTTAAGTGAGTGATTATTACTGATCAATTTATTCAGATATTGAATTTAAAAACATTCGTATTCATGTCGTCATGTCGGCTGTCCACTAAACTACTAGATGTTGATCAGTCATCAAGATGCACAGCAGAGAAAGACTCTCTGATGGACTGACAGCTAAGATTATTTAATTTTATTTAATTTATATCCATGTGTCACATAAGGTACTTCACACAGTGAGCTCAAGGCCTCATAGGAAGAAACTAAACAGTTCCCCTGACATAAGTAATGATAATTAGTGCTAAAATCACAGTTTAGCAGTAAAAACATCTCGTATTTCAAGAGTTATTTGGTTTTATTAAGATTTTTTCATATCATTTTGTCCTCTTGTTACTTGCCGGACTAAATATGTTGTATTTAGACAATACTTTAAACAATGGACGAACATATTTGTACAATTTCTGACTGATCTTACAGACTTTCGAATCAAATCCAGCTTATTTACATAGCAAGCATGTTTAAAACGCCTTCAGTTGATCAAAGTTCTGCACATGCAGCAACAAAAACTTATGTGCAAAACAGACAAGATGCAGACTTGTCAAATCAGTTTCTTATTTTTGTGGGTAAAAATCTGTGGTCTTGCAGCAGCTTTCTGCAGCAGACGAGGCAGGAGGACTACTGGTCGATGTCCGGCTCCAGAGCGGTCCAGTCATCTGGTGCTGAGCGGATTGAAGCAGTGGACGCCGTCTTCATGTCATTCAGACTGAGAGTCGGTCACAACTCGGCTCTGCAGTTCAAAGTGAGATGACACACAGACAGTCGGCATGTAGGTCAGCCGTCGACGGCCAAGTGGCTGCTGATCAGCATTTGAATGACAAAGCCTCTGAAACTTCCAGAGACAAACAATCACACTAAAGAGTCCACTTCTGCTCTTAACAGGGAGCGACACGAGAAGCAACGAGAGCCATGTGAGGTTACAACCAGCACGAGGTGACCCTGATTGGACGACTTTAACTGTGTGCACCGGACCTCATGTGACTGAATTTAAAACATGTGAGACCTGTTAAAGCTTCTAAGATGTTCAGTGAGACTTGAAACAAGTCAAACAGAGAGTCGAGCAGCATCAGAGAATCAGCAGCTGTTCTGGGAAATAAGGAATCAAGTCACTTATAAAGCAAAACATTACAACAGTTCAGTCGTATGTGGTGTCTAAGAAGATGCTGCATGCTGGAATCTTTGGGTTTTCAAAATCAAAAATGTCTGTGGTTGTTTAATCTGTGATGAAAACATCTGCTGCAGCCGGAGACAGAACACGTCAAGTCAAAACTGTTTCATTAGTTCAGCTCGCCCTGAACTTTCAACCACTTCTCCTCTTCTTCCATTAAAACCTGTGATCGCTTCATCCTCACTCATCATGTTTTTAATTCTAAATACTGAGCACATGCTTTATTACTGCACAGTGAGCGTTACGACCGTCTATAACCTTGCAGCAGAATCATCTGACAGATAAAAACAGCCAGTTTGTGCCTCGCTAAGTGCACTTTGACTCAGGATCAGGAGCGATAAAGTGTTATGAATTTCCAGAAAAACGCTGACTTTAGGATTTGAGGATCATAAACCTGAACTAAGGAAGAAGAAAATGCACAATATTACTGTGGCAAGTCGAGGAAAGTTATTCATACATAGCAGATTTAAAGCCATGGCATCCAAATGCTCTCCAGTAAGAAAATAAAACAAATAGGACTGGTGTAAAAGGCATACAGTGGCCTTTATGGATTAAATCCCTACAATTAATGTGTAAAATACAACTTTACCTGACTATAATAAACAGTAAAGCTAAGACTATATACTGTTATAACACATTTATTCTTCTGTTGTTTATATTAGGTGCTGTTTTATAAGATTTCTGAGTAAAACTTATTGATCCATAATGAGCTAATGTACATGATATAATGATCAATACTGCACACAGCCTCATAGACACAATAGGTGTCCACTGAGGGGCCTTTACAGGTTGAAAACTGACTGTATAATAATAATCATGGATAAGAACAGTCCCAGACACTAACTCCTAGAGTCCATGTGACATTGCATCAGCTGGGCGAACTTAAACCAGCTCTGGTCAACACAACAACCATCTTCTCCTCCTCCTCAGCCTCAGACAGCAGGATGCAGCAGACACACCAAACACGACGGCACACATAAACACACACACGCCCTCATTCCTACCTGAAAATAGCCTGGAAAAATATCTCATGTACATCGGGAGTTACGTTAATCCAAGAGCGTGGGGCCGTCTCCGGAGGACTCGCTCCCTCCTCTGCTCGGTGTCTTGGCTGAGAGAGCCATTAGACTAAACTGTGCCGCCTACGTCATCACTGCGGGCCAAAACACCAGCGCGTCACGTTCACGAGCGTGCAGAGTGCGCGCGACAAACACACACACAAAAAATCAACATAAGCTAATAAATAGACAACAAAGTGCCGCCATTTTAAATAGATTTATATAATCGACTGGTGCGTCTTCCTTGATGAAGTTTCGCACATGCGCACGGTCAGACACTCGTATTACCTGTTTGCTTGTTTCAGGCCGCATAGTAACGTTTAGCGCATAAGTTAGCCTAGCTTGAGTTGACTGCCGTATTCCTCCTGCGCGTTTATGATACTTCAGGAAAGAACTGGTAAATTTAGCGCAAGTGGTCGAATCAAACCCTGCCGCCAGGAAACACGTTTTCCTAGTCAACACCTGGAACTTACCGCTCAACTCCCCGGATGAGTGGATGCCGAAGGCCTGACCAATCGCGTCGCTCGTGTGCTAACGTTAGCCGTCTGAGCTAACCGCTTTGCCCTGAAGTCGTCGAGCTAACGGGACGGGACTAAAAATGTTTGGTTCTTCGAGATCCGGAGGAGTGAGGGGCGGCCAGGACCACTTCAACTGGGATGACGTGAAGGTCGACAAACACAGAGAAAATTATCTAGGTAAGTCCGGAAACAGGCAAAGTCCTCCGCTATCAGCGCTAACCAAAGGAATGCTAACGGTTGCTATCGGCGCTAACCAGAGGCATGCTAACTGCTGCTATGAGCGCAGCCAAGACACGTCAAACTCGCTGCTCAACTGCACACTTTGGCCACACATGCGACTTTCTCGTACCTTTTGTCGTAGAGTCCCTCATTACACAGAGTCTGGACTGGTCTAATTGCTTGGTGTTGGCCTCGTTTTTTAACCCTACACGCAGCAGGTCCTAACTTTCATCGCTCCTTCTCTGAGCAAACACGGAGCTGCTGCTGCGCTATTTGAGCGCACACGGCTGCCAGCATGTCAAACAAGAAGTACGTAGCAGCTAGCAGAGATGTGGCACAAAAAGCCAACAAAAGCAAGGTCACACAACTTATTGTGCAAGTTGCATGTTGAGGAAACACACGATATGGACAGCAATGTACAATAAAGCATTAAATTATAACCAGCAGAAGTTTAAAAGGTTTGAATAACAGGTGACAATGAGAAGAGGATTCACCTACCAGAGATCACTGACATTTCAGTTCATTCATGCTAAATTAAAGGTCGAAGTGAGTCTATCTCAAGACAAACTTTATCTCTTTGTGCTGTTGCGTTGAATTTGGACACTAACATCATCATACAGCTCCAGTTATTAGCCAACACACACGAACAGTTTGTGTTCACCAGCTGAATGATTGTCATTTAAAGCTTTTCTCGAGGAAAAATGACAAACATTTGATGGCTTTCAGTTTCTCAAATGCAAGACTTTGTTGGACATCTTTTATCCCCAATCTCTAAGAAGTTTAACCAGGCATTTTTCTTTTTTTTTGATGTTCTAAACAAACCATAAATATAGATTGTGACACAGGCGCAGACTGAGCTGGAGGGTTACATCTGTGCATTGTATGTGCATTTAGGACACATATTTGTGAATCAGAAAGTGGAACATCTCTAGATTTCATTCAAATCTACACACCTGAGGAGCTACCAAAGCAAGAGAGGAGCTCCAACTTTATCTTTTCTGTCCATAAAAACAGAAATCCTGATCACCATTTACGTCCTCGTTCAACCAGGATTAATTCTGCTCTGTTGTTTCCAGGGAACTCGTTAATGGCGCCGGTGGGACGGTGGCAAAAAGGCAAAGATCTGACATGGTATGCAAAAGGCAACAAAGGCGGCGCACCGTTGTCCAAAGAGGAAGAACTGGCCGCCGTCAGGGCAGCGGAGCACGAGGCACTGATGGCCGCCCTGTACGTACACATGTCCAGTACAGAAATGAATCTAAAACTGCAAGTTTAGGCTGTCACATATAATCAGTTTTGTGTTTTCTATCTAGAGGGCACAAGAATATAAAGCGACAACCAACTGGCTTGACCAAAGAGGTATGTGACTCAGGTTTTGTGCAGCTTCAAAGAATCTGTCGTTGCTGATTTGGCTCAACGATTTATGTTTCATGTCGTTTTGATGTCAGGACCTTGTGGAGGTTTGCAGGAGGGAGGAGGCTGATGGTGAAGAGAGAAATGTGGACCGTGTGTCGGGCTTGGGAAGCTCCAGGTGATTTACTTTTTCTGTCAACTTCATATAAAGCTGTAGTGTGAAGAATGTGCTCAGCTTTTGGCGTATAACAGCCAAACATACAAAACAACAGAAGACATTTTTAAAACATGTGTGTAGCAAAGGAAAAAGTGGACCCTCAGCATGTAAAAATAAGTGATCCTGCACAAAATGCACATCATTTACACGTGATCAGAAAATATTCCAATTAGAAACTGCAGCGTGCCGACATGGAGCGTTGCATGTTAAAAGGAATCCTGTAAAGTAGTTCTGAACGCTTCTGAACATACTGTTCATATGTAAATGTGGCATCTCACTATATATATGTTCAGCATCTTTCAGTTCACCAAGGTCCTAATTTTAATCTTCATAATGTGACCTCGTCTTAGGGAAAACAAATTGTGATCACTCAACAGAAAATGGCAAAATCAGACGTGGAACAAGGGTCCTCTTGACATTGAATTGCTGGCAAAAGAGCTGCTTATCCTGATGGCTGTGATTGCTGAGTGTTTGTTTCCATCTGCAGCGCAGGGTCACGGAAAATGGTGCTGTCCCAAAAAGAAAAGGAAGCTGCTAAAATAGGCCTCCCAGTCTTCACAGTAAGTGTTTTTGCTTCCCGCTGCTTCTTCTGGTTTAGACACTGATAATATGAACAATGCAGAGAATCATGATTGTTGAATTCTAGTTGATAAAGTAGCAGCACTTAGTCGTTCGTTGTGAAAGTTTATTTTGTGAGAACTTCCACTGTCATGTAAACAAGTGCTTTCTGTGCAGCACCACAAGACTGAAGGTCGTCCAGAAACCTCAGCGACGAGAACAGCCGAGCACGTAGAAAAACAAGAACTGGAACAACGGTGAGCGTGCAGAACGTTGGCCGCCACCTGTAACGTGCTGTAGACACAATAACACAAAGCGTTTAGATGTTACCAGACAAAATGTGGCCTTGTGTTTGGATTCCTGTGTTGAGCTGAATAATAAATAATCTTCTCTGTAGGCCTGAGAGCAAAAAGAAGAAGAAAGAAAAGAAGAGCAAAAAGGAGAAAAAGAAGAAGGAAAAAAAGAGGAAAAGGCAAAGAAGAGACTCGTCGGAGTCGGACTCGGATGACAACAGAAAGAGGTTGGTTGCTTCGTTCATTTTCAGTTTTTTATCATTAGCTGTTGCCTGAGGATGGACAACTTGTGTCTTCAAAAATAAAACACATTTTGGTTTAGAGGTAAAGGCATGTTGTCATTAGTTAGTGTGTATTGTGTGGATTTGTTCATGTGACTGTGTAGCACTGAGTTAACAAACCTGAACACTGCCTACAACACAGTGTGTCGGCACTAGAGGGCGCTGAGACACTGTCTGAGACTCATCAACGTGTAACATTACCTCTTACGTCTGAGGTATCACAAGATTTATGCTGAGATGGATGGGATGAGGAGGAGGCTCACTAGATCAAATAATGTCATTTATATGTTTCAGTAACTTGTTGTACTAATAGAGGAATCAATACATCGTGAACATGTGATGGTCGTGTACAGGATCTATAATTTCTCCACATCTCAGCGAGTTAAATTCACTTAAAGCTGCCATTTAGGTATTTTCAGGCACTATAAAGCTCGTGGAAGCTTCCTCCTCCTCCTCTTCTTCTTCTTCTTCCAGGCCTCAACAACAACAACAACATGTTACGGGATCCCCACCACACCCCGACCACTGACTGTTTGTTTCCTTCTACTTTTCAGGCACAGAAAGGACCACCATCATCATAATCCATCATACCGTAGTCAGAGCGGAGCCAGACCCCATGACAGCCATTCAAGGGGGGGAGCAAAGGCCGAGCGAGAGCCCTCCCACCCCCACCACCGACAGCAGCGCCACGACACAGACTCCTCAGATGGGGGGTCTCCTGTCCCCCGTAACCCTGCCAGCCACAAGAAGGCCCCTGCTGGTGCCACACAAAGCCACAGGCGGCGCCATGACACAGACTCGGACGACTAATGTCCTGCCCGCCCCCCCGCCAATTCAAAGACGCATAATTCGAGCGGAGCGCTCTACAGCAGCCCGACCGGCCCTGAAGACCTCATTTACCCTGGACGGCCCGGCGGACTGCGGATGGAGAGCGTTCTGTGTTGGGGTCACGTTGTAGCTCCTCCACTCGATAAGCGACAGCGACACTGTTTTTTTGTTTTTGTGTTGACAAGGTTTTTGTTAAAACATTTTATGTAATTAAATCATCAGATATCACATGCGCTGTCCTGTCCTACATTGCGGATCTTAGTTTTTACAGTCCTGGTAGCTTTAATTGTTCAGGACCGTTTTCACTCAGACCACGGTTGCCACAAGCAGAAAAAACATCGAGCTTTGTTTGCCCTGATTGTTCCTGGAAACGGGTTACGAGACACCCGATGATGCATCTTTAATTACTGTTCTTTAGTGAATATGTCTAATTTGAAGTATCATATAGGTTGGATAAGTATACAGCTGGCACTTTTTCCTATTACTCATGTCCCTGTCTCTCTCTCTCTCTCACTGAACTGTTTTAGTGTTTTTGATGAGATGCTCGTCGACGCCTCTCTCGTCGTCGTCGTCGTCGCACATCTCCTCCGTGCACCTCTCCGCCACTACTCAGCAACTCTGGTCCCTTTTTTTCTTTTCTCAGTCATGCTCCTTAATCCCTCGTCGTTCTAGGTTCGGCTCCCTGACTGGTGCGATACCATTGGAATGCTCTCCACTGGTCATAATAGAGTGTAGTGTTTGCGTTTGCCTTGAATTGGTCTGAAAGAGGGTATTCTGCTGGCTGGCACCTGGGGGGGTACACTAAAAAAGAGCAAGGCATTCATAAAGAAGAGTGCAAAAAACCAGGCTGGTCCTTTTTTATACGGCCGAGTACCGTTAGACCGCCACACACAAACCAAGCTGATGAAGCAGCAGGAGAGGAGGCGAGACAAAGCCACCCTATGAGGGACCCGAGACTCAAACTACCTCCCCTTCCACCGCTACCATACTCTCCTGCCATGTTTTATAGGCTTGGCTGCATCGACCATAGCAGCCTAATCAACCTGCAAGAATGCTGTCCTAGATTGCCACCCGAACACAATGTGGAACGGGGTGTGCTCTCCACGTTAACCGCTTTAACCTAAGCACTGGGTGGTTTCATCACCTTGGGGCATCACATTTCTTCCAGGGTCAAAGGGTGATCGCCCCGAGGGGTTGCCGTGACGCCAGTTTCTGGGTTTCTAATGGCGTTTTACGTGAATTGCTGTTCTGTTAAGGCTGCAATTCATGACATTTATCGATAACTTTAAAGATGTCCAGTGGTTTAATCCAATCTGAAACTTAATTATGCTCAATTTTTTAAAATTTAGAAAAGGATTCGACT